GGTTCCGAGAATCCGGCAAGAGGGAATAGGAAAGTATAGTTATCGATCTATCATCATTTACCACGCGTCTGCCAGCGACAAGCAGCGTCTCGAGGTGGGGAAGTGTTCGTATCGATCTATCGCGTCTACCAGCGTCCCACTAAGCGACCAAGCTAAGCTTTCTAGAATGGATTGTTTTCCTATAGGCAGTGGACAGATGGACCGCTTTTACGCAACCTCATACTCTTTGCCAGCAGTCTGGGGTATGTGTCGTTTGTGGCAATGCATTTTTTTCGCACCTCTCTTCTCATAACGGCAGAGTCGCCTGCGGTGTGACCCCACTTAATTGCTGGCTCGCTGCCTTCTAACCTCTCATCGATTACGCTGTTCAATCAGTTATAATATACTATAACATGACTCGAAGAATATGAACATGGATGTGTGAAGTATAGAGTAAACCGATGAGTCAACAGTTATAGAAGTAGTCTTTTCCTCACTGAAAATCAGACTCGCATCTGGCAGGCTTTGTAGACAATACATGTAAAGGAGGGAGGAGGCAGAGAAAAAAACGTTTTTCTTGACTTTGAGGTGCTGTAAGTGGCACTTTATTCTGATTGGTCGTTTCTACCACATACTCAATAGATATATCAAGATACTATACATGTATACTCGCCCCACAGCCTTTTGGAGGAGGCGCCATCGAGAAATGGTGGCCACGCGGAACGGAATGGTATACCTGAGTTCAGCGAGATCGTTGATTTCTCTGCACTGTGGACCACCCTATTGAACTCCGCCGGAAACAAGTAATTGAGGGGGTTCAGTTCAGGTGACCTGCTCTTATATTCCATCTGTCCAGATACTCAACGCTCTTCCACTCCAAGTAGACAAGAGTTTTTCCAACGCCATTCGATTTCATGTGGGTGTCACCCAATCCTGTAGCAGTACAGTTTCCAAGAAGGTACGGGCGACGACATGTGAGGAGGATATTCTTCTCGAGTTGCTCGATGTAACCGCCAGCGCTCACCTTCAGTCCGGGGTCCACGAAACGAAATATTGGTCTTTCCATTCCAGATACCTCCGTCTACTCATCAACATGCTCCTAGACAGTTGCAGTGAAATGATATCCTAGACCGTAGCGACGTTGTCGGAGCTGCTCGGTGTTCGAGGCACTAATTTACCGTTTCACCGATTTCTGCAGGTTACAATCCAGCTGGGCCCACATTACCTGATGAATACGATTTCGGGATACATCTTAGAATTAGCTGTAGTTCCCCCACCCCTCATCCTCGCCCCTCCGCCCTCTTCCAGCACCCCAAACGTATCCGTTTCCACTGCCAAATACAGTCCCTTCAACGCCGTGCAGCAAAGCCGCTTGCACCCAGTTCCGTGCTTGCGTGATTCTACCGCTTCAGATTTATCCTAGACAATGACTCGTGTATTATCAGAACAAAGGGGAACACTGACATGTGTTGGTGAGAAACAGGTACCCTTTTATCAGTTATGTTTAACAAAACTGCTAAGTTGAGCAAAGGCCTCCATATCACTTTCTTCCCTACTTTAATTCATCGTTTTGAACTCAATATTTATCTAGTATGGGCAACTCTTCACATTTCTATGTTCGTATTCTTCGAGTCATGTTATAACTGATTGAACAGCGTAATCGATGAGAGGTCAAAAGGCAGCGAGCCAGCAATTAAGCGGGATCACACCGCAGGCGACTCTGCCGTTATGAGAGGAGAGGTGCCGAAAAAAGTGCATTGCACAAACGTCCTACACCCAGCAGTCCTGCTACCCTGCTATCTCGTCATACGGCTGTCTGCTACCCTTCCATACTCTCCAGTTCCGGACGTTGCGATCACTCGTAGACGCTGATAAACGCTGCTAGTCGCTAGATCGATACCTATACTTCCCTAGCTCTTGAGACGCTGCTGGTTGCAGTTGGACGCTACTGGTCGCTGGCGGACGCTGCCGCAAACTATGAACCTTACACATTTCTCCTCTACCTGTATTACGTCCCCTACCCACCCTTCTTCACATTTTCACTAACTTTCGTCTCGCCGCTCACGACGGGGCATAAAACGCATAAAGTTCGTTTGAAACAGAGAAGCCAGCAAAAAATCTTCTGTACTTCTCAAACCAAATACAACTAATTTTCCTTGCGTCTCTCAAGAAGCGTAACAGCGTCCGGGGTCCTTATCCCCTATCGCTTTCATTGTAGAGCCGGAACGTTACTCTCGCAGATTTCCCGAATGCGACCTTCAGAAAGAAGTATTTGTTAGCATTTTTATTATTGAAAGTGTAAAGCATGATCACAAATGTAATCCAACCGGTTCAATTGGAAAATAATGTAGAAAACAAAAGCGATATACATCTAAACAGATCAACGACGACATTATTATACTGGTCAAATGAACCGCATTCGGCTTTCGTTTACTGACAATGTAACAATAGATGCCTAACCATAAAACGGAATTCATAAAATATAACATCAAACTTGAAGATGACGAAAACTGAGGTTGAGGTTCTGCTACAGTAATCGTAACTGAAGTGAGCTCTATTCACAGTTGGGGAATATTCATCATTTATAATAACTTCGTAGGGCAGTCTCGTTGATTTTCACTTTTTGTTCGACTCCATAACGGAATATGCACGTGCCTTTTGTTTCGTATTTGACAACCTGAAAATAATGAATTTTTTCCAACAAATCCTTATGTGAACGTTGTTGAGGGTTCTGCTTGGTTCACGTCACACGAAGTATTTGGGCGTAATTCCCGCGCTTTTATAGCCTCGTTTGGAAGGAGAGCCTCTGGCATGTACCTCGAAATCCCTGGGATGTGGTAGGCGTGGCTGCGTACTTAAACTAAACGTGCAATGGCTGTGTTTTGTATGGATATTTTCATTTTGACACATTGTGGTCATGTCTTTGTCCAACACTGAACAAGATGACAGTTGTCTCGAACTGAAATATCCCACGAGTAACCCATTCTATGCCATGCTCAATCGCCACGCCTACTCCGTCTCAGGGATAAGAGGTGTGCGGGGGGGGGACTCAGTTTGCGTGTTGTTTCAAAAAAAAGTGAAATTCGTGGAGATCGTTGGATGTTGCCCATCACCACCATCACATTCCTCACAACTATCCAGTGCTCAACTTTCAAGCTATTCATAGTACTTTATTTATGTATTTATTTATTTGCTTATTTATTTAATCATTTAGTGAGTCCATCAAAGAAATGATAACCACGAAACGGATGAAATGCAGCTAACAACTCGGCGCAGTTGGCCTGGAAGGGGCATTTTACGCATCCGCTACTTCCCATCGACAGGACGATGGGAACTAGTGAAAGTGCAAAATGCCTCCACCCCTCCCCCCAGACGAACTGCGTCAACAATCCAACTATTTTGACAGAGGTATACAGTACACCGCAAAACAACATTCTGAAGAACTGAGTTGTCGGAAACCATCGATTTTGAAGAAAATAAGGAAAAATTACACATCAGCTGGTATTTCACAGTGACAGTTCAGGCCAAATACTCAGTTGAGATTACTGTCATTTCCAGTTGAAGTTGAAGGCATATGGCACGATAAGTTGGTACTCGGTCTAAGCGGGATGCTACCTGATGGGAAAGCGGTGAAAAAACGAAGTGAAACAGTCGAAACTTGCGGAAAAAGCCTTCGTTTCTGATGGACTCACAAAGCACGAGTTTCCCATAGGTCACATTTGAATAATATGGGGCAACTTGAAGCAATTTGGACTGTTGTTCCTTTTCCTTTGCCTTTTCTTTTGCTCAATTCGCTTTCAAATAAAGTGCATTAATTGGAAATCGTTCCCTGTTTTCGAGACCCCCTATAACTGCGAAAAGTTCACAGCATTTTAGAACACACCTTTTGTTCACAACAGAGTGCCTATTTCATCCCGCAGTGTCCCCTTGATTTTATTTGCGGATAGCCTTCAGTTCCTCGTCACCCCTCGTTCACAATAGCGAATGGGTATGTATTGGTCGGAGTCATGTCAACTCTCACATAAAGGCGCAATTCACATTGCCAACAAAGGAGTGTGAGGGCGGATCGAGGCACTTATGTGTCTCAGAGTGTTGAAGGCTCAGACAATCCAAGACTAGTTTCCCTCACCATCCCGTTCGGGTACTCCCTCTCTCGCAATGCCCACCGCACTCACTTTCAGTGCTCAACGCATCCCTCGAAACATCTGGTGAACGCGGCTCATCAAAAACGTGTGCCACAGCGTAATAAATGCTGAAATCGGGAACAATTGATGCGAAACGGTGATGAGGCTCAGATCATAAAAGCAGAGCGCCAGCAGATGTGTTACCCATATACCGCGAAGACGATTCACACTGAGGCCCGTTGCCCATTAGTGACGATAATAGCTGCGAATCGAACCGTTGTTTCGCGGTCCAGATGACCGTTACAGCGTAACCGTTATGGGAATAGGCTCTTCGACATAGTCAGCTTCCAGCTAATCGATTCAAATTAACAGTAGATAGTATTTATATTGGAAGTAATCGATGCTCTCAATGGGGAACGTTCGAAGAGGGAGCATTCACTATGGCAAGGAAACAGACTGATAAAAACTTGGAGACAGACAAATAGTGCTAAATACTTTGCTTGGCTGGAACGCCAACCTTGCTTTTGAAAGTCCACCTCATCCTTATGGGAGCGGTGTTCGGTGTGGAAGGGATATTTTGCACTCCTTCCTGTTCCTTTTTTTCTAGC